GCTATACACAGGAATATGTATGTATATAAATATGTATACATGTATTCAACAATAATTATTGAAACAATAAGGCATAAATATGAAAAGAGAAGGAAGGAATATGTAAGTATTCATTGACAATTTTTTTATGATCTCACATAGTTTAGCTGTTAGGATTCCTGTTTTTCACTCAGGAGGCCTAGGTTCCACTCCTGACATAGGAACACCTGCATCTTCCAAAAAACTCATCCAGGCTGTGTTGCTGCACACCTTTAATCACAGCAGGCAGGCAGAACTTTCTGAGTTTGAACACCGCCTGATCTATAAATCAAGTTCCAGTCCAGCCAGTGCTACACGGAAGAACCCTGTCTTTTAAAACAAAGACAAAAAAAACATTGTTATGACAGGCTGGAGATGTTGCTCAGTGGTAGATTAACCTGACCCAGGGTTCAATCTCCAGCACCACAAATGGACAAACATTTTATTATGAAATTCTTATGTATTCACAAAATTTTGAAACAATGTACATGGCATGCTGTGTATTTTCATGCTGTATTGTTAATATGTGGGGGTGTCACTCTTTCTGTAGGAGAAATTGTCAGTACTCAGAGATAAACAAAAACTTCCCTCATTGCTTCATAACCTTTGTTGAACAGGCACAAATATGCTGTCTAAGTGGGAATTCATGGTGGTCACTTCTCAAGGGGGAAGAGCAGATGACCTTGGTCAGCAGAGGATTGGCAAGCAGAGTCACAAAGCAGAAGTCACTAGTTCATTTTAGCAGCTCTTCTGTCTCAGGGCAGAGGCTTGTTTACTGTCTCCTTATACTTATGTCACCCCATAGTCCCTAAGAAAGCTTGGTAATCATAAATAAGGTTAAAGTTTGTGTTTTCATTTCTCCTTCAGTTTTTCTTAGGCAGTTTACTTATTTATTTTATGTTTTAGTGTGTTTAAGCTTTATTAGTAAGTGTGAGTGCTTACATTCAAACTCAGTTTGGTCTGATGACAGAGCTAAGATAATTTATCCACATTTATATACCTCCTTGTGTAAACAGCTTAAAATGGTACTTTCAAAACTTTTTT